GGTGCATACATCACTCTCTCGTTAGAACGGTGCATATACACCACTTTTGACAAACCGATGCTCACATTCAAGAACCGCTCTCACATGATACCAACACATATATGAAATAAGTAAGTATATTACCCCGAGTTCCTCAAACCAGCACCCTGTCCACGATCGCCAAGAAGCGCGAGACAGTAAGATTTGACACAATATATCTAACAGATTAATCCACACACACGTGACGTGTGGTTATGCTCGGGTCACGTCACACTTTTAATTTATTTTGTGTTTAACTTATAATGATATATCTTGGTGCAAACAGCGGGTATTATTTCCTTTCTCGTGATATTCATAATGCATAACAGCCACGTGTCGTGTCAGTGTCAAGATACAAGAGAACTGATCCATCTACACTTTATCCACACAGACACAGACACAGACACACACGCACACGCAAACACACGCGCACACGTACGCATACGCACCTATGTTTGTATATACAGAGACCATATACCCCGTATATGGTCTATGTATATAGTATAAGATATTGTATAAAATCGATTTACCTCATTTCTATAGTCTTTATCGTTATCAGAGGCGGGCAGTATAAATGTGTATCGACATTATTATCTTGATGTAACTATAATTATATATTTTTACTATATATAAATATTAGTGTATAGTGACATTATTACTGTTAACATAATATCATATCATTGTTCGTATCGTCATAATGCCAGTGTATATTGACATTATTACTATTATCATAATATCAGTGTATATTGACATTGTTACTATTATCATAATGCCAGTGTATATTGACATTGTTACTATTATCACAATATCAGTGTATATTGACATTGTTACTATTATCATAATACCAGTGTATATTGACATTGTTACTATTATCATAATATCAGTGTATATTGACATTGTTACTATTATCATAATATCAGTGTATATTGACACTGTTACTATTATATCAGTGTATATTGACATAGTTACTATTATCATATACCAGTGTATATTGACATATGTTACTATTGTTCATATCATATACCAGTGTATATTGACATTGTTACTATTATCATAATATCAGTGTATATTGACATTGTTACTATTATCATAATATCAGTGTATATTGACATTGTTACTATTATCATAATACCAGTGTATATTGACATTGTTACTATTATCATAATACCAGTGTATATTGACATTGTTACTATTATCATACTATCAGTGTATATTGACATTGTTACTATTATCATAATATCCGTGTATATTGACACTGTTACTATTATATTATCAGTGTATCTTGACATTGTTACTATTATCATAATTCCAGTGTATATTGACATAGTTACTATTATCATATCAGTGTATATTGACATTGTTACTATTATCATAATACCAGTGTACATTGACATTGTTACTTTTATCATAATATCCGTGTATATTGACATGGTTACTATTATCATAATATCAGTGTATATTGACATTGTTACTATTATCATAATACCAGTGTATATTGACATTGTTACTATTATCATAATATCAGTGTATCTTGACATTGTTACTATTATCATAACACCAGTGTATATTGACATTGTTACTATTATCATAATATCAGTGTATATTGACATTGTTACTATTATCATACTATCAGTGTATATTGACATTGTTACTATTATCATAATACCAGTGTATATTATCACTGTTACAATTATCACTATGCACAGACACTCATTATACACGAACATGCGCACACTTGTACATGCACGGAGAAACACGCACACGCACACTAATTCTAACGCTGATGTAAAATATTCAACCACCATGAACATATCACCTGTAAGATACTTATTGATTGACATTTATAACACAAGTAAATTGATTCTAACATTCTGTGGTTCTTGGGACAACATAATCGCAAGAATTTTATTATCAATATCTCTTATGCTTTTGCGAGCGCACGTGCGTGTGCTTGTGCTTTTGTTGGCAGGAATTAAGAACGTCTCAATCCTCATTGATAAGTCATCAATGCCGAGAGGGGAATAGTAAAATGAAAGCACGTCAATCTTCACAGACATTGACTATCTTGAACTTCTTCGCTGATAAATAAAGTGGATATTTTTAGGAAAAACATAATTTTACTATAAATTTCAGAAAACTATAAATGCTTGTTTGAGTCCAGAAACACCAAACAAAACCAGCGCTTGTCAATGTCATTATGGTGCGTAGTAAAACATGCTGTGTTAATGAGCACAAGGGCACGTGTCCTCCAGATGACAATAGACCGTCAGCTTGTTATCCGTCCCAACCTCTTCCTCACACGTCCACACAATGTACAAAACCTAAAACTTTGTCGTGAAACCTTTAAGGTGATTTGAAACAGGAGACTGCGACTTCACGGAAGCGAGCTTTGAAGGCCGAGAGATCTGAGTACCGTCTCGCGATATCACCAGGATGAAATCATCGGTAAATCTGAGGAGTTTTCGTGCATTTTTACACAATTTTCTGATTTTTCCCCTAACGGAGTAGTTAACTCGTGGAAAAGAGAGCCCATTTAAGAGTTTCAGTGAATAAGATGAGCATGCTTAATAGTCGGTGGATGAATTGTTCTGCACTTAAAACGTTCGTACCTGGTTACGGATGGCCATGCACCTGAGCTCCTAATTAACGTGTTCCTTAGCATGATGTTATGCTGCAACATCTGGCATATATTATTAACTGCCTGACTTTATTTACTTTTTATCCTCCACACATACGAAAACAGAAGAATTTTTTTTTTCTGTCTGTGACATTTCTAACAATTCATTGTATACGCACGCACATTTATGGAATTGCAATTTAGTTATTTCAACAACAGGAATCATGTTTTATAAATAACAGTATTTTTGCTAAGGGTATAACATTTATATCAACAAAACACAAATTATAATTCTAGCTGTCTGCTGTATATTTATCCTCACAATAAATACAATTATATAGGATAGTCTATGTAAACATTCTTCATCTTTTCATCTGTGTTACAGATAGTTACATATACAAACAATTAAAGATTTAGCACAAATGGGCGTTGCGAGTTTGTTGTATTTTACATTGTCTCCTTGATTTAACACACAAATACGCCTGGAGTATGTAGGTAAAATTAGAAGTTACACGCTAACTAAGCCGCTAATTACTGATCACGACAACAAACATCTTTGCCCGGGGCCCCGAGTGTTGATTTTAAAAACATTTCTTTTTGTACTACATTAATTGCTTAAGTTCCCTGTGGGGAAATCAACTGATTTTCAAACATTTGCATTTTGTGGTCTTTTCCTTGATTTGAGCATGATGAATACGTTTCTAATAACAGCAGTGTTATATTTTTTCAATGTTTACGCGCACATTTCGTGGAATATACATGTACATGTATGTATCAATTTGTATAATTTTCAAAATGATATCTAGATTTTGATTCTTAAAAAAGTTACACACAAAGAAATTCCTAATAGAATTACCAGCTGAATTTCAATTTTGAAATTTATATTTTTCCTAAATTCAAAAGGAAATTATTCCCATCAGCCCATAATTCCGTGGCCGAATTTCACAGTGTGTAATACTATTAAAATTTTAATTGCATTTGACATGTCTGTTTATGAAATTATGATATTGCGCACTGAGGCCTCATAATCTGTGGCGCAGTAATAAAATTTGATTTACCGTGGTCATAATTAGATAGCGATGTTTGTGGATATCATGTTTCGGATTTAAACGTTTTATTTTTGGACCCGGTGATGCTACTGGTTAGCAACGTGTCTTATTATTCACCGCGGAGTTTGTTGCCCATATGGCTCTGAAGGGATCTCCCCCACCCCTTACAACCTGGCAGACCTACTGGGTATACTCGTAGTTTATTAAAAAATGAAGACATTTAATTTATGTTTCTTGTACAAATTTTACAGGAGTGAAAATATAATAGAAAATACACTATGCGAATTAGCAGGTCTACCATGCTGGGTGTATTGTGCTTGTGATAAATTAATACAGCTTTTTTGCTAAAATGACTAAATATTCCGGGTACATGATAACATTTGAGTAGAGTGTGAATATTTAGGGTTTTTTATAATTCGATTCCCAACACAACCTTTCATTAGCAGATAATTTAACATGTTTGTAAATAGGAATCTATAATAAGTGAAAATGGTTAAACTTGCTGACAGTTCAGGTTTAACTGATTTAATTTTAAATCAGCTTTATGTCGAAAACCACTGACCATTAATTCATAATATAATTCACCTTATAGTTAGAATATATTTGAAATAAAGAGTGAAAGTTTCTGAGTGAAAAAAACCCACTATATTTGTTTTCTCGAAATACATGTACAGTATGAGCTGTTTGTGAGTTTGTATTAAATGTATTAGGTTATTAGTAATAGTTGTCGTTCTAGTCGGCGTTGTCTCACGACAATGCTCTGTCGTGTATACAAGGGGAACAAAGGTTTCGTGGGGATAGGGTAGCGATATGGGGTTCCTAACTGTAACCAAACTGTGATGGGTTGGGGACATAATCTCAGATCATAGGGGTTCTCAAAGAGGACAGTAGAGGTTGACCTATCGAGACATGATGGAAGGTTCATTCCATTTAGTCCAACGTACTGAAGTTATAAAAAAAGTATCTCTTTTGACTTTTCATCACAGCCATCATGGGTCTCGACGCGAATACAGTGGCTACGGATAACCTCAATTTTGGCAAGTCCAATTTAATTTCATCAATCATAATTACTTGCGCCTGATTGCACTGGTGTGGCTGCTTTCAAACCCGCCCGCAACAGACCAATAGAGATGGAAGCGTGCTGCGTCGACCTGTCAATTACTCTCTGACAAGAGCCAGCGCGTGACTTTCAACCAATGGGACGTCTGTGTTTGTCGTCACGTGACTGGGAGGGTTTTTCCATCTAGACATCCCTCCCGCTGTCAACTGTAACTTGACGATGATGAATAGCGGAGGGGGTACACCTCTCAATTTAGACAACACTGATACCGTCAGTTCTAAAGCCAACGATCCCAGTTGTTAGACTCTATACAAGCCTCAAGCAGGACGACCCGTTCGGGTCGAAAACAGATCGTCATGCACAGACCAATGTACAGTTCGTTTTCCATCGATGCCTTGATGGCGCCCCAACCACGGATATCACCACCACTCTACTACCCCGGGTACATGTTCATGCCGTCAGCGTCCGTCGCCCCGTCCGTCCCAGGGAATATCGGCGACCCCCGGGCTATGAGTTCTCTCACCCACGCGGTTTTCTCCCAGTCACAACTTCTTGGATCCCAAGCCCTTAACCAGCAACACAGAGAGTTTTTACTTCATCATGCGGGTAACACAATGCCAGCCTCACCCCTCCGACCTACGGCACAACCGACAGTTCCTACCCCCCGGTTCAACGGATCTACCCGCTCAGTCAGTCCGCTCAGTAGTGATGAAAACACAGAGGATATTGACGATGAAATGTTGGAAGGTAAGCGTTGAACTCGAACATGCTGTCACGTCAACTATGCATTAAATCGCAAAATAATTATTTATGCGTAGATCGTATTGAGGTAGAAATTCAGGGTATAATTTATTGATATAACAACCAAAGACGGTCGAACAAAAAATTGAATAATAACCATAAAAATGTGTATAGCGTTCTATCCCGTTAAGAGCTAAACAGGAGCCATTCAGTCAGATTACAGGAAGTTTTGACAGTTATATTCAGAGTGCAACAACATTAATATGTCTCAGCTTGTAGCTATAAGCAATGTTTCAGCTGAACGGTTGACCTAGACGTGTTATCAACATAACACCAGACCACGTCGCCATAGACAGCCACAAAACAGTTGTTATTATATGTTAATGTGTTTAACTTGTGTCCGACAGGGACAGTGTCGGAGGGCGATTAATTTATTGTTACAGGCACTTCTATATACTTTCAGAATTATAAATATAATTATTATTTTGCATCAGATAATATCTTTAAGATAGGTGACAAGCATTAATGGAGATAGTCAACGACATGGAAAACTTACAATAAACCGTTTTGATCTGTGTTATCGTTCAAACATAAACATTATTTCATACTGTATCAGGAAATTGTTGGGGAAATGTAATTTGGGAAAATATGTTATCATGGGTAGGTTGGTGTAAGTAACACAAAACTTGTAAAGGTATTACCACAATACAGCCTGGCATAGCACCCCAACTCTGTCAGCTCTGAGCTGACCAATTACCTGTCATCGCCAACCATTCACACATCCAGTATACAAACTTGCAAAGGGAAATGAGTAATCAACATTGTTGGTAAATTACCGACACAGTTCTTTGAGCCGAGGAGGAACTCTCTCAGTCGGACAAACATTTTGGCAATTAATTGTCGTGTTTCTAACCCCAATTACGTATGTAATTGACTCCTGATAGGTTTTAATGCCCCCAGAATGCCAGATGTGTGAAATCCAATCGTCAAGCTATTAACACAACAACCACATGGCCAGTAGTGCCTGTCAGTCTTCCCTGGCAGTCTTCATGGGGGGACCAGTCACCGCTGAGTGGTCCCCACAACTACACGTGACGAGGCACACATCACAGCTTCCACAACACTTCAGTCATTATTCCAGTTTCATAAAACTCACAATATATATTTTTTTCTTTAATAATTGATACATCATTTTATTAAAATATTATTCTCATGTACGAAAAGCTGCATGAGATTCACAATTTCCTTTGTAAATCATGTTAAAATTTGTGAGAAAATCTTTCAGCTTTCATTTGAAATATTAAGTGCAATTGTATTTGCCCGTAGTGTTGTTTATTGCCTTTCCACTGAAACTCCACTATCAAACCCATAAATAAAATAAAGATTTAATCAGTCCAGTGTGGCCGGAGGTATTGTCGTGGATCTATCGACAGCTATTCTCTTCAACTTTGCACGTCAAATGGCTATTATTTCCTTGTTTGTTCCATCGAACACGGCATTCGGTGACAAGGACCTCAAGTCATTCAAATAGCCGCCGTTTAGATTTTGTTAATTGTTCAATTTTCCACTGTTGTGTAGACCAAATATACCCGATTGTTGAAATGTTTAATTTTGTCAATCGGCAAGTTAGTGCTAGATTGTGGGCATCATACTGCTCAAATACATCCCTATTGTCCCTTACTTAAACCCTGTTTGTCAGTGGCTTTATTGGGTTCCCTCAAATTGGCCCCTAATCCCCAAGTCATCGCTGTCAACTAGGAGCTGAACCCTTGTCACTTGTATTTGAATATGGGCATTGACTTCTGGAACAATTACTTCTCTAAACTTTGCTTAAACTTCAAAGGCGAATACTTCTACATTGCATTTTAACATTAATGCAGTTACCTGAAAATAATTTTATTGAATCATGTCCATAGGTGAGCATATCAACCTCGAATTGTCTCATTTAAACATAAAATATTTAAAGTCCAAATTTCTATACAAAATAGTAATTCTAAATTTGATTTGATTTCATTCTAAATTGATTTTCTTGTTGCGAGATAATTTGACAATGAAATATATGCAATAACAAAGCGCAGGCTACGCTGCAACAATTACTATGCAACAACATCGGGTACTTACTTCAGCATGCACACTGAGTGGCGCTATCAACCTACCGTGCATTCTTTCCCTCACTTAATGAGTTATGCTCTCGTAGAAAATTAATTTGCATTTTCATTGGCATTTTGGATCGTTATCAATATCAAAATGGACGGAAATGGTGTTATAATGAAGATAAACAAGACACTTGTGTATGAATATTTAATCTGCATAAGCATTGTACTTGCAGTTACGTTTTCCGAGTAATCAAAGCAAATTGAATCTCCAGTTGCTGATTAAATGAAAACATTACTATCAGAAAAGACTTAAAATGTGTTGTTATTGTTTCAAAACAATATCCTATCAGGTGTGTTATTTCAGGAATCTATTCAGATTTGTTTAAAAATCCCATTAATCAAAAACATATGATTCTAACAATGAGTTTGATATTATGGTTTATTTCTTGTTTTAATTAGAAAAGTAAACAAACTAATAAATTCAAAATTAATGCAGTATGAACCAAGAGCAAACGCACTATAATGCCGCCATTACGTAGAAATGACATGCACATCTAACTTACATAACTGAGGAGTTAGTACAACACACAGCCCCAAGAAGAGACAATGTGTAACTGAGGAATTAGTACAACACACAGCCCCAAGAAGAGACACTGTAGAGCTGCACCAGGGGAAGGCCATTGTCTGCACCTGCATGTCGTTAGTGAAATTATCCACACTAAAGTGTCAATGGTTTAGTTAGTGTCATAAATAATTGTAAGATTATGCACAGTTAAGGAATATAATCTGCATGATTTCATATCACTGGTTGACAGTTCAATTGCAACTATGACAAACAAAATGACAGAGTTGAAACAATTTGAATGGATGGTAAATAGTTGATATTCAAATGTAACTGATAATTGCTTGACTGTTTTTTTTTAATCTAATAGGTGTGAACATATTATAGTGAACATTCTATGTCATCCGGAGTGGCACTTCACCACTTGTATAGTGCACGTGGTTCATGATCAAAAGTACTAGCTCTTTATTGAAAATGTTTGTAATACACATTGAACAAAATATTGTTTGATATTTAAATGATTGCACATAATTTAAAGGGTTGTAGAGGGCCTGTCATATGTTTTCATAAACCAGTTTTTTAATAACATTATGAGAGAAAAATACTTTAAAAATGTTTAATTCTCTGTGGAAATGTGTACCAGTGTCAGTCATCCTAAATAACAGAAGCCAAAGAATCATGATCTTAACTCATAGTGTTCTTCATGTTTATCATCTTGTTTATTTTTCTTTAACCTGTTTTCATACTATCCGCGTCTGACTGAGAATCTAAAAACTTAATAAGGTATGGTCTCTGTTGTAGATTTGGTTACAAAACTGAAATTGTTTTTTTTTCTGTGTGTGACCCAGAAATTCTAAACGCGAGAAAAGTAATGGTGTTTTGATGGATGAGGTTTGAAAAGACTATTTTTGCTGTCATGCCCTGTGACCTTTCAACATCATTCATAATAAATTAGGAACTGCCACTTCAAAATACAAAATCAAACGTGCTTTTTTCTTACTCCGGTTTATTTTTTCGAAACTTTTTGATATCAACGAAGCAAGAAACGTTTAACAGCTGAAACTTTAAGAATGCACACGAAACACATATTTTATTTCATAATAAAATGGCTACTTTAATTGAAATTGACACAAGTCTGGCAATCAATACAGATTAACTACTTCCTGTGCGGGAGAGAGTGTCTGTCGAGTTATCGTCAGTTGTTCGTTCTCTTTATGAGATCCACCAGTAATAAACTACGAATATGAAACAGTTATTTTACAGTTTTCTTTCCACAGCTCATCGTGAATATCCTAACGCTTGTGTAAAAATCACGACCCGTAAACCCCGGCTAATTGCAAGTAGATTTTAAATACTTCAATATGTAACTTATTGAGGTCTAGTCCTATTTAAAAAACACGTTTCCACACTCGATGCACATCTTAATTACTAATTTCAACGTATTGCCTCAGAGTGTTGCACAGGTGCCAGATTATATTACCTGGTGCAGACTGTATAACTGAGAGAGTAGATCTAGTAATTGCTAAATTTTAAAACATTGTTTAACATAATTTTAACATAATTGTCCACAATAAATGTGTGTGACTGTCTGTCTGTGTGTATGTTCCTGGGTGTTGTAAGGGAAATCCTTTGGGCATTTATATCTATGACTAATTAACAAATGTATGAATTATTATTAGTATTTATACAACTGTGCATCGAGCTATTAGTAAGTGAATAGAACTAATTATGTGTTTAAATAAACCGTTTGTGAACCAATGATTGATCGTGACCACGCACGTGCAATCGGACACCTTGTTTCTATCATTAGAGTAACATGTAAATATGATTATGGATTAGAAAATTATTGGAACAAAATTATTCCTAACAGGTTTCAGTATTAGATTGAGGTACTGACGTAACGAATAAACATGCATTGCAAATTCTGCATCCAGTACATTTAAGCGTTGTAAAGTGAGAATCCGTATTTGAAACAAGAAACACGACTTACGTAGGTGTAAACATGAATCAGCAATTGTCTTGCAATGGAACTTCGGTAATTATATCATAAACAGTGACAACAAATGATTTTAACCGTTTTGTCCTAAAATAGACGATTCTGGATAACTAACGTGAATATACCTTCACCATAGAGTACCGCGTTATATGTATTGATAGCATTGATTGAATGTGAAGTGTTCTATATTCATATGTTCAATTGACATAAACCACAACACTATACACACTCAGTGTTCGCAATAAGACTCCATATGTTCTAACGTTGTATCGTCCTGGGCCGTCAGACACCGACCAAACACTTCTATCCTCAGTAATAAAAAACAGTTCAGCTTTTGAAAGGAGGTTCTATTGAGAGGGTTTTATCACCGAAGGTGTTAGATTGTAAACACCCGGCAGATTGAGATGGAAATGAGAAACATTTCTCACTGTCGTGGTAATGGTATTAAAACTTACCGACATTATAAAGTGCCTCTCTTCCTGCCCGTTAACCCTTTATGTACCACCCCATCAATAAGGTGGGGATTAAGCTGAATGGGGAACTCATAGGCCACGAGTATGTGATGTGGTTGGCAAAAGATCGAGTTAGATGGAGTTCTCACTGTACCTTTACTCAGCTTGGTCCAGAGCTATAGGGAATATCGGGTGGGGAACATGGGTAGGTTAATCAGGGTGGGATGGGGTTTGTGTATGATGGGTGGTGTAGGGTGGATTGTTGTTGGGCAGGGTAGGCTGGGCTTCTTACTCTGAACAGTCATTCTGCTTCATGATATATACCTGATGACAGGTTACACTGAGAGGGAGTGCAAGCAAGGCTCCGGGAGTCAGCGCTGCAGTAGCTATAGCGGGTTTCTTCAATTAAATCCTTTATATGAATTTAAGAGTCCTTGGAATGAAAGTAATCATTGAGTGAATGACTGAGAATGATTTTCGGCTGCTGTTAGCAATATTTTAGCAATATTGTGGTGGATGACACCATATATGCGCTTCAGACATTGTACCCATGTGGGGAATCGAACCCGACCTTCTCATGAGTGATTGCTTAATTGCGTCGTTTGGCTTCCCCATATAGTCCTAAAAGTAATACATATATATAGTTTCAGGAGTTGTGATGTCGATGGTGTGTTTGTTCCAGTTGTGTTTCAGACATATCAGAGTTTATTGGGTGTTTGGCATACTGGTCACTGGTTTACCGCCCTCCATGTCAGTATGAGCGTATGTGTGAACATTAGATGGTGCATATTACGTCATCTACATCATCTCAGTTAATGTCGTTCATGTTGTCGTCTTTAAGTTCTTGACAGATTTATGACCTTCGAGCCGCTACAACAATTCGTTTGGGGTTATATGCAGACAATTCTACTTTGTTAAATCACCACATTACCCCTATTGTGCCATTTACTCTGCAAAGCCCTTTCAGACTTAACCCATTTTCTGTTTTGGGTGATCGTATCGTAATCAGTGTTGACAAGCATGGCCACGCCCCATCAGTGGTAGGAACGTAACGTGACATGTATATTAGGCCCGATAATCTGTCAATCACAACGCACCGTGTCCAGTAGCCCGGTGACATATGGTACCTGTCTATTGTCCTGTACCATATTGTCCAGTGTCCTGTATGGGAGTCACCGCCTGGTCCTACAGTCACTGACATACGATTACCTTTACAACTACTATTACATACATAATGTCATTAGGAACCTTGTGGTGTCATTAAGCGGGGGAGTGGTTAATGGGATCTGGAGTACCCATGATAATGACTAAATGAGCCGATATAAGGAGATGTCAGATTTTGTAGGGTACATCGGTGTTAGTCGCTGACCGCTCCTTTTCTGTTTTAAAAGGGCAGAATCTGTTCATGCAGGCCAGGTCTTTGTTACGCAGTGAAACTTACGGCAGTCGTATCACTACAGTCGCTTTGTGCAACAGAGCCCAGGCCAATTGTAGGTTGGTTTTGAGTGACGATGTTGCGTTTCCTTGGTTACAACCATTTAGTTCTTCAAACGAAAAAAAAGAGACTAAAAATAGACCACTGATTGTGGTAGTAATATGTGTTGAGTGAGTGAGTGAGTATGTTTTCTCAAGGCGGGTAAAACCAGACGTAGGTTTCGAACCGGACCTTTAACATCTTGTCCATCTGGCTACCAGAACACTCTAATGTGTGTTGACCTGTCGGGCACCTTCTTCGTCCATAACAATATATTTGTTCACGACACAGGACACTGTGAGAACTAGTGGAGTGCGTGAGTTGAGCTTAACGCCGATGTGAACTGTATTCCCGTTAAGCGACGGCATGTCAGCTCGAAGTGGGAGGAGGTAATGCAGGTGTCAGATGTGTACCACTTGGTGAAATCCATGTGCCAGGTTATTGTTCTGTAACACCAAGAAACATAGAAATATAGGGCTTGAGCCGGGATTCAAACCCATAATCAGAGTTTTCTAGCGTGCCCAAGGGAAGCAACTCTGTACAGTGAAATACGACGCCATTGGCGACTCTGTCACTAGTGTCCCTCCCAGTTGCTGGAACTCCTAGTGTATCGCATATGGCAGCTCTGCAAGGAAATCAATCATAACGAACAGTTCTATGCGGTCGTTGCGTTATGCAGACTGCATAACATAGTTAGCGCTTTGTACAACCCCCCTTCCCCACCCCTCCCATATCGAGTCAGACTTTCACTGATCCCAATGTGTGTCCAGTTATATTTATCTTTCTTTACTCTACACATACGCCAAGTATTGATAACTGGGAAATCCACAACATAATTTCGATCCATCTACAAAATGGCAGTTACGTCAGTAATATTGTAAATGTCTCGTGGACCCAATCTGATATGCCGAAAGAATGTGCTATGTGCAATAGATCAATTTAATTTAATGTCACTTATCTTCGTATTATTGATCCTGATATGACCTTTCACCTAATTGATTCTCCTGTTCCTGTTTTCCGACATTTCTGAAATCAGTGGGTTAGAGAAGTTGGTTTGTGCCACCCAAGTTGTACTTGCCCAAGAATTCTGATCCGATATTTGACACAAAAAACATATGTTATATTGCTCAGTATTGATCAATCATTGCCTCAATCTGTGTGGTGGGATATTCTGGTGGTGGTTTGAAAACCAACATTGACATAACCTTGAACCATTGCCCTTATGTTACCCTTAACTCAAATGAACAGAGTGAAAATGGTCCCAAAAGTAATTGTAGTTAATTATTGTCAGGTAGTGATATTCTCATTATACGAACAGTTATTCAAGTATGAGTGTATAATTATTCTATGTTCAATATGCCTGATGTGTAATTTCTGTTGTTGTTTTTTAATCTTTACTAAAAAAAATAATTTATGTATTTGAAAATATTCAATAAAGTTCAGGTGAGCTACAGGATATAATTTGCGTATCTTCACGTACTTCCGACATCATGGTTATGTAATCGAAATCCTATGCATATGTACACACGGATAACCACTTAGGACCTATAGTCCAAGGAGGACTATAATCAATGCTTAACCTGGACACTTTTAGAAATGACGACAAACAATGGTACCAATATAAGCAGAATCCTTTGTTCGATTCCGACTATATCATGACATTGTGTTTATGACGATACCACGTGTTCTTGAAAAGGCGAGCGAATTTTGCTCCACCGGCGCATCTGCACGCGCACGCGCACACTCTCACACACACGAAAAAAAAATCACCTTTGGTTTTGCTAACACCTGGTGTTATCAATGTTTTTAAGCGATCCATCCTGTACTTTTGCCTTTAAATCTGTTTCGGCATATAATCGAGATTGAATACTCTATATAGGGATGGGCGTTTTAAATTGTTAGGGCATTTTTCTTTTATCATAGTCTTGATGTAATAAGGTGATTCACGTCGATCGATTTAAAAAAAAAATACATGATGTTTTTGGCATAAACATATGTTTTTAATTCCCTGATTGTGCTTCTTTATCAGATGCGGATACGTCGATGAACCACACAAGTGAGGGGGAGAGTATTTCGGAAACAGCCGACAGCGACAGGACAGGTATCGACGGAGGTGGCAATTTGGACGGCGTTTCCGGGAAAACATTTGACGATTCCAATGGCGATATAGGCACTTCCGGTGGGAAGACAAGGCGGAGAAGGACTGCATTCACGAGCGAACAGTTGTTAGAGTTGGAAAAAGAGTTCCATAGCAAGAAATATTTGTCATTAACTGAGCGATCTCAAATTGCACACAACTTAAAACTCAGTGAAGTGCAAGTGAAAATCTGGTTTCAAAACCGTCGTGCAAAATGGAAACGTGTAAAAGCTGGATTAGTACACGCCCGGGCCGGGAGTACAAACGATCAACAAAACAAACCCAAGATCGTAGTGCCTATTCCAGTGCATGTGAACAGAATTGCAATACGATCTCAACACCAGCAGATCGAGAAAACAAGACCCGTACCCTAGCGAGCCTAGTCGTGTTGATAAACAGGGTTTGAAATTGACTCGCAAAATCAAAATTGTAGCCAGGGTTTCAAAGAGACGGACCTTTGATGCCGTTCCTGTATTAGAACGTTGGCTGGTGTTTTTTATACAAGCACAGGAAAGTATGTTATGAGAGGACAATGTTTACCCTTTTTCCCTTTCTAATCCTTTTGGTATGTTCCGTATCAAACAACGGAAGATTCCATTCGATATTTTAGGGGTTAAAGAGCACAGGACATGAACTAAGTGAAAAAATAAACGCTCTTTGTTCGTTGAACAGAGAGGGCCTGTTTCTTTATTCTAAAGGAGGGACCAAATTGTTTATTTCCTAGAACGAGTTTTCAAAACTCTGTGTATGTAGTTTATTGTATTTATGCTACCTCTCGCAGGAACTGACAGAGAAACAGAAAGTACACAAATATTGTGTGAGTTACGCAACTCGCTCGAGTTCCCCCTGATTACTCGTTCCGTAGTGTTTCTAGAAAGGCACATGGCAGTGAGGAAACTACACAAAATACAAAGGTATGATCTCTTTGGGACTACTTTGCAATGATTGTGCAATTACACCAACGTCTTTCAGTGTCAGCGCCGAGAAGCGCTCGTATACTCATTACAGAGCTGAGCTGTTAAAGACATCAAGAATTCAGTTTGATGAAATTGGCCCCACACTTTAAGTCTCTCATAGAACATACCTGTATCATAATTTTAAACACTAAAAAAGTCCCAAATTCAAATTTGTATCAATGTACATATTATTTATTTGAGGTGTAAAAATACCGATTATATATGCTAAACGTTCGTCCAAGTAGCAATTAATACTTTCTACACAACCCACCCACCAAGAGGCTAGGCACCACTCCAAACAATTCATTGCAACTATTTACCCTTCTAATCATCACCGGCTCTATGTTTGTCTGTCTTTCACACCTTTCACAAAATTCTGGCGTATATTACATGGTTATAAAAAAAGACACGGCGGCAGTGTTTAATTCCAAAACATAAAAACGGAGTCTCAAACACATGGTATATCACTCTCAAAATGACAAAAAAGATTTGATATTTGTAAACTATGCACACAAGTTTACACAGCTGTCGTGGGAAACTCCTTAGGGGGTTAAATCGCTGAGGTAAAACTGCATTATTAATTTATACAAACAAATATTAGTTGAGAAAAACTGTTTGTTATGTTATTAATCTTTAACACATATTTTACACGAAATTCAAATGCACATTTTAAGATTTATTTCAGTGGTTTGAAATTTAAGTTATATCATGTCTTTTGAAATGTGGGATATCAACGAAAGTATTATTATTCTAGGTGGAGGTTTCTAACATGAAATAACTCAAAGAAACTATTGTTATTTCTTCTTTTCGTATTTCAATTACGTCATAATGATTGGTAGATTTTTTCCTGATATTACACTTAAGTGACAATGTTCACTTTGTTTTCCAAATAGATATAGCGTATAGTGAAATACAGATGCTATTCAAAGTCAGTAATGAATTCAAATATATAAAGTAAGTCTCATAATGATACGATTTATAAGATGAAAATATTATCTTTTAAATGAAATATTTCAAAAACGTCAAACGTATTTGTAGACAGAAGCCCTATGAAATTCTATGAAAGTCCATATTTACGAAAAGTCTATACCCATGACAGAAATAGTTGACAGGTTATTCTGATACATGTCACGATTGTTTTCATTAGTAATACGTCAGCTCTGTATTAGATTATAGTTCAAGTTCTTTATTTCAATTCACATTTGTGGTTGTTTGGTGGGTTCACAATATGATGTACTGCCGTGAAACAAGACATATTTCAATAGCCTAAACACATTAATAATTGGATTAAGAAGTTACATTTTGTTTATGATGTGGTAAACACACTTTCATAAACTTAAAATAACATTTTGGCGTGGATTATTCATCAACTGGACATATTTCACCATACTAGGGGGTCAATAATAATAGGCTGATAAATAACGTTTACGATATTTGACGAAGAGTGGGCATACAAATAAACACATGGAATAGTATATATTGGTGCAAATGCCATGATGTAAGTATACAATGTATACTTACAACATGATAAGGCTGTATAAATGATATTAAGATGGTTTTAAAGATGTATTTAGATGCATTACATTGTTAAACGATGCACCACAAACCTGACGAAACCAGCCATATATGTTGTTATACTGAGACACGTGCATGGTTTAAACAACGTCATTGACATTGACATACGTCAGTTTAGCCAAGCCATTGTGGCTTGTGGAAGGTGAGCGAGACAAGGGCATGTGTGGGTCGGTGTTGTCACGAGGGTAGCAGCCGATAGACAAGGGGGGAGGGTGGGGGGAATAATTAATGCTGCCTCAGGCTACACTACAGCAAATTGAGAAAATGTCTAGTATGACGGGAAATAACATGTTATTTACATGAAATTTACACCTTGCGTGACGGCCCATTTTGAAATATACACGGCCACACGTGCTGGAAGCGAGATTCTTTGTACACGCGCAATGTTTTTTCTCTAGCATTCCATTAAAATTCAATGAGAAATAAATCTAAATTTATAATTTGTGAATGTCTTCTTGTTTTTTCCCTCTACTTTATGGATTCGTGTGCGGGTATTTTCACCTTTTCTTTCTCTACATCTGCTGTGTGTCGGATCTGAAAGAAACAATTTATTCGACCCCCGACTCGGGGACAACGTGGCTGCCGGGTCGACTGTGACTGGGGTATTGTGCATGGCGAGAAGCAATCGCTAACTCATATCGTTCATACTGACTGGGCGCACAGGAGTTTTTACACAAGATCAAATGTCAAAGGTCAACTGTATAGTCCCAATATTCATACATATAAGGTTCTCTGGTATCTGGAATTCGGTTCAAGCTTAATAATAATCCATGTGAAAATATTTTTTATTAGAAATACATTTCGTTGGCCATAAAAAATATAGTTCTAAATGAACTAGAAATTATGTTTTACGATGACACAGAAAATGTTTTATTTTATAGAGCAGTTACTGGTGGTAATATACAATATAAACAAGCAATTACAGTTAATATAAACATGAGCTGCAGTGTGTATATATGTTGAATTGCGGACAAAATTGTATCCGTGTTTCAGCTAGATCTCTGAAAGAAATAACTTGTATCCCAGATGTATTAGAAGACAACTGTACAAATATATAGCGCTGCGTATGTAGGTAGTATAGACACGATAGCTGGTTATCTATTTCTGTGAGCTAACACGTTCTGTGATGACTATTCATTTTTATCGCATTCAGGTCGGATTTTTTCCCTTCGAGAAATACAAACCTGAATATAACTCTGATTAAATGAATAATCTAAAGCACTAGAGTTTAACAAAAACCACTTCACGGAACTATTTTCCTAGGCCGTGCTGAAAGGTACGCTTACAGATTTACTAAGCCCTCTTATACCAGATGAAAGATGGGATTTCTATGAATGAGATTCAAAATCCCAGTTTCTTTTTTAATGTGTTTTATTGCCAGTTTGGAAATGGTAACATTTTACAGAGTGGCCCAACGGCCGTCGTCGTCTTGCCTCGTGTAAATGGCCCCTCGGCCTCGCTCCCACCCTCGGGATTATTACTAAATTAGCCTTGAGTGTCGAGACGGCAATAAACTCGGGCGTAAATGAACTGGGGCGCAAAATTTGATCACAAAAGATTTGTAACACATACAGACAGTGAACGATCCGGGGTCGGGCTTTTAAATAGACACAAAGGTTATGAAATGAAAGATAGGTGGCGTTAAAGGGCAACAGAAGGACTTTGCAGCGTTTCCGTCGAGTCTTTCAAACCGAGATACAAGCCAAAGGGAACGGATGTTTATGGATATGAAAAAAATGTTAGATTCGGTTTGGTGATTTCCCCTCAACCCGAGCAATGTTTTTCTTATTTTGGACTGAGGAGAATATTTAATCTTTAACTTCTACTGGTTCGTGACCTCTTCATAGATGATGAATATAAAAAAATGAAAGCACACTTCAAGACTATTCACACTACGTACACGACTCAAGTGTATTTCTGTAGCATTGGATTGACCCAAGTTATTGTGTGCTATTTATTGGAATCCTTTGTTATCAAGATGGAGCCATATTATCACAGTTTTCTGAAATATAATTATCCTGTTCAAAGTCATGTTAGGTGCAAGTCTGACGATCTCACACTGGTTGAAGTGTACAACCATATTCATTTTTCCAGACATATTTCTCCCCTTTTGATAGAAATATCTTTAATATTTCTGTGATGCACAAAACTGATTCTCATTATATGTCAAACATATATTAAATAGATTATTCCTATCAAAATTAGTGTAATCTATTTATCCCTTTCGTTCTCTGTTATGTACAGTTTACATATCTGTGTCACTTTATGTTTCATATTTAAATTATTGATAAATGAACAGAACCTAATGAAAGGTTTATTAGTTTATATTGCCAAATACAACAGGACAGCTCAAGTACAAGATCCTTTCATTATTTGAATATCAAGACTTTGTGGTCAATTGGATTTACACATCTGGCTTAATCTATATTTATAATCTTAATCCATATCAACTACTGGTGCAACAATTTGGCATCTAAAAAGTGGGAATTACTTGTTGCAAAATGAAAGTAAATATCATAAACATGGGTGTTCAACTGTTTGAGTAAGCATTATTGTTGGAATAGTTCTGTTTACTGAATGCACATTTGAACATGCTTAAAGATTATTAGTAAGTTATTTCGTAGATAGTATGACTAAAATAGGGAAATAATTGAGTGAATAAACGTTTTGAAGTGATTTTCTATTTTTAATTTTCATTTAGACACATAAAACCGATAACGTGGATCAGAACACATATTGAATATATGTTCTTTCAAACAAGCCTTCAACATATGATAAAACGACTGATCAAATAACCAAGCATTAATAAAACCGCCTGTCCTGCCAAAACTGACATCAGATGTTCAACATCCTAATGTTTTCATAAGAATGATCACAGGCAAGCATGTTTAGAAAGAATTTTATAAAGAAATTGACGTTTTTACACAAAACTTCAAAATCAACGAAGTGGATGCTGTGAAGATATTACTGTCAATGTCCCTCCTCCTTTCTGACACGACCCCTATATTCAGTTACATGTATAACGCATTATATAAAGTGCTAAAATGATCAAATAGGACTACTACTACTACTACTACTACTACTACTACTACTACTACTACTACTACCATTAAAAATACTGCTGCTGCTACTGCTACTTCTATCCCGTTTCCACCCACCCTGCGCCTCAATACCCCCTTATGTAAACCACGCCTCAACTCCCACCACCCCACCTCTCACATACATTCTCCGCCTGGACCTGCGCAAATTCCTCTCGATTTACACCCCCCACTCCACATGTACACTCCAACCTGTACCCCCACACCCCATATGTACACACCCCACCCCACATGTACACCCCCACCTGTATCCTCACCCCACATGTACACTCCCACCTGTATACCCCCACACCATATGTACACACCCCACCCCACATGTACACCCCCACCTGTATCCTCACCCCACATGTACACTCCCACCTGTATCCCCCACACCATATGTACATTCCCCCCACATGTACATTCCAACTGTATCCACACCCCACATGTACACCCCACCTATACCCCCACCCACATGTACATTCCCCACCCACATGTACACTCCCACCTGTACCCCCACCCCACATGTACATTCCCCACCCACATGTACACCCCCACCTGTATCCTCACCCCACATGTACATTCCCACCTGTACCCCCATCCCATATGTACATTCCCCACCCATATGTACATCCCCACCTGTGCCCCACATCTACATCCCTCACTGTAACTTCCACCCCACATGTACATCCCCAACCCCATATGTACATCCCCAACATGTACCCACCCCACATGTACATCCCTCACCTGTACCCCCACCCCACATGTACATCCACCACCCCACACATACATCCCCAAGCTGTACCCCCCACCCCACATGTACATCCACCACCTGTACCCCAACCCCACCCCATATATATATACATCCCCCCACCTGTACCCCACCCCACATGTACATCCCCCACCTGTACCCCCACCCCACATGTACATCCACAACCTATAACCCCACACCACATGTACATCCCCAACAAGTACCCACCCCACATGTACATCCCCTACCTGTACCCCCACCCCACATGTACATCCACCAGCCCACACGTATATCCACCACCTATAACCCCACCCCCATATGTACATCCCCACCTGTACCCCCACCCCACATGTACATCCACCACCCCACACGTACATCCCCAAGCTGTACCTCACCCCACATGTGTACACCCCCCCCCCACGTACCCATCCACCACCCCACACGTACATCCCCAAGCTGTACCCTCACCCCACATGCACATCGCCCACCTGTACCCCCACCCCACATGTACATCCACCACCCCACATGTATATATCCACCACCTATAACCCCACCCCATAAGTACATCCCCAACATGTACCCACCCCACATGTACATCCCCACCCCACATGTACATCCACCAACCCACACGTACATCCCCAAGCTGTACCCCTCACCCCACATGTACATCCCTCACCTGTACCCCACACCACACATATACATCCACACACACACACCCCACCCCCACACCCACATGTACATCCCCACATATACATTCCCCAGCCCGACCAGCCGACATGAAAACATTACCTTCAACATTGAGATGATGAAAAAGTGTTCTCAGAACGCCCCTAGTGACGGAGAATGCATCCAACCAGACATGCTCTGTAAATAATTAAAATATTTACGTCTTAGTAAAACCTCTTGGGCATTACCTTTGAAATATGGTCATATGAAAGGGACAAACAACCCGTATTCCCCTGACAATAGCATTAGATGCATCAACACCTCCAAGGTATGCCCAGCCATATGTCCAACAAGAAGCACGTAGTGACGTTCGGTTCACGACAGACACCCGGATGTCCGGCAAACGTGGTGGCATGATGGGGTCATTTAGGCTAGACCCATACATATAAGATTTCTTCACTCTGCGGTTTGCGGAAACACTTATTTTTGGGGTACAACTGCATAATTTGGACCGGATCAAAACAAAGCTTCTCCAACCTGATAACAGGGTAACAATGATAAACAAGATAACTCGATAACAGGGTAACAATGATAAACACGATAACAAACAAGACTCTATAACAGGGTATCAATGATAAACAAGTTAACTCGATAACAGGGTAACAATGATAAACAAGATAACTCGATAACAGGGTAACAATGATAAACAAGATAACTCGATAACAGGGTAACAATGATAAACAAGATAACTCGATAATAGGGTAACAATGATAAACAAGATAACTCGATAACAGGGTAACAATGATAAACAAGATAACTCGATAACAGGGTAACAATGATAAACAAGATAACTCGATAACAGGGTAACAATGATAAACAAGATAACTCGATAACAGGGTAACAATGATAAACAAGATAACTCGATAACAGGGTAACAATGATAAACAA